AATGCGTGCAAAGGCTTTAAGTATTTTGGAAGAAACGGTGGTGGCCAGCATGTATACTCCCTCAGTGTCTGCTGGTCAGGATGTGCTTCTTCCAGTTAAAACAACATCCACCAGCCGAGCAATGCAGCCAGCTCATTTCCCGTGAACACTTTCCAACTGCAACTGCCCATAAAAAACAGAACACTACTTACTTAACTCGAGAGTTCAGAACAAATATTGTCAAGTAGACCTGACACTTTACGTTTTACTGCTGAGGGTATTAATGATAAAGTACTTGTCATTCAGCTCCGCAACAGCCAAGCGATCAGCATCGGGGTCTGTGGCCACGACAATGCGAGCCTCTTCACTCTCGGCCAAACGAAGAGCCAGCTCCTTAAACGGTCAGTGCAACACAACTCAATGTTTACAGTATGTCCGCATGTTAAATAAGCATCGTTTTACCCTTCACTGTGCTAGAACCAAGGGGTCATGGTTTGGCAAGCTGGTTTTGACAGAACCCTTGATCTTTCAAAGACAAACTAATAAGAAAATAAATAAGCCAATATGCTCATGGTTCCAAATAAACTATTAATATGTATATATTTTTTTATGGTAATTAAATACATTTCATAGATATTTAGAATTATGTAACTTATAAATATAAATATAAAGATTTTACCAAAACAGCTTCTCCTTCCTCTGGGTTAGGGCAACTGACAGTGGAAAATTCTGGATCTGGATCTTTCTGTTCCGGAACAGGGATAGGAGGTGGGAAGCCAAACTGCTGAAAAGCTCTCTGGACAAAGTTGTGACCAACACCATGGAAAGATGAATGCACAAACTTCAGGGGAGACTTTGTGTTAAGTTCTCTGAAATGAGAGAGAGAAAAAAAAAGGTCACAATCCAACAACCGCCTGTATGTTAAAACACACACTTGAAAAATACTTCTAAATACTTAGTTCCACTGACCAAAATAAATTTAGACAGATTGTAGTGTTTCTTAAAGTCACCAAGAAATAAAAATTGACCGTTCTTATCTTGCATGAAATATTGCAGTATTTGTTATCAGTGATTTATCGGTGCACACACACACATAAATATATATAATATATATAATATATGAAGAGTTCAGATGCAAAAGCCTCCTCTAAGTGCCGTTTGAATTTTCTCTAGAATGATCATTTTTATCAAGCTGTATATTTAAATTCAGTGATTTTCACTTAAATGGCAAAGATAATTACCTATTAATTGTTATTTAAGTGAAATTACTGAACTTAAATATACAAGTTTGATAAAAATCATCATTAAAGAAGAAAATTTCAAATGACTTTGAAATAATGTTTCAGCTTACCTCAAGGGCATCCAAAATGTAGGTGTCTTTGTTTCCGCAGTATTTTTAATTTGATATTTTTAGGTCAAACCGTTCTTGTCGGTCAGTCATATAATGCAGGTCTATGGTCACCACCTCAAAGAGCATGCACAGAGAAGTCCAAATTAAACATGATTTAATGACTCATAAATTTAAGTACACATTGATGGCATAAGACACGAAACAAGTGGTTTGTGTGAGAAAACGAACAGTATTTATGTGATCTCCCGCACGTGTACGTCACTCATTGTTTACACTGAGATTTCGGAAGTGTTACCCTTCACTGTGAAGATCTAAACAGGAGCTTTGTGGCTGTGGTGACAAGAGGTAAAAACAATATAAAAACTCTTCGTTTTCCCACACAAACCGCTCGTTTCGTGTCTTAGGCCATCAATGTGTACTTACATTTATGAGTCATTAAATCATGTTTAATTTGGACTTCTCTGTGCATGCTCTTTGAGGTGGTGACCATAGACCTGCATTACATGACTGACAGACAAGAACGCTTTGACCTAAAAATATCAAAATTGAAAATACTGTGGAAACAAAGACACCTACATCTTGGATGCCCTTGAGGTAAGATAAAACATATCAAAATTAATTTCAAAGTGAACTATCTCTTTAACTGAAGTTTTTTGGGAAACCAAAAACGGTTCATCTATATCATTGTTTCGAAAAACACTCTTCGGTTGTTCTTGGCACTTTGTTACAGTTTAAAAACACCAACAGTACACTCTCTTAGTACAGGCGAGAGACTGCACCTGTGGAAGCAGACAGTGTTTAGCTCTTCCATGTACCAGCGGCAGACGTCCTCCAGTGGGTCACTCCTCAACAGGCTGCTCTCAACTAGGTCCACATTCCAGGACTCTTCCCACGGTTCGGTACTCTCCTCAATGCAATGCAAGATCTCCTTATCGTGTGGCGAGGAGATCTGTGCCCCATTGTGCCAGTAAACCTACAGAAAAACCACAAGGTTGAATCACATCAATTGAATCCTGTTCTGAGGAATGTACAAGACTTTCAGAAGTCACTCACACAAGCGTTTGCCTTTGCCTTTAACAAAAATACCACAGAAAAAACAACTATACAAACTAATATAAAGTTCAAGAGATATTAAAGAAAAGTATAGTCAGAAAAAATAAGAACAAATAAATACAACTGAATAAATAAAATATGTTTTTTTTAGTTTCTCAGGTAGGTCTAGTGCATATGAAGAGTTCAGGTGCAAAAGCCTCTAAATGCCATTTGAAATTTTCTTATTTAATGATGATTTTTACCAAACTTGTATATTTAAGTTCAGTAATTTCACTTAAATAACAATTAATAGGTAATTATCATTGCCATTTAAGTGAAATCACTGAACTTCAATATACAAGCTTGATAAAAATGATCATTCTAGAAGAAAATTTCAAATGGCACTTAGAGGCTTCTGAACTCTTCATATATTAAAATCAAATGCCATCAAATGTAAAATAACATGGCCTTGTCTTCACATTATAAAAACTTTACATTCACTTAAGACAAAACCAGCTGTTTGAAAGGATATTTTGACAATTTTGTGTATGTTTGTCCATTCAAGCGAATGAAGAGCGTCAGTTCAGTATTTGTGTACTAAATGAAAAGCAGCTGTCTGTGCGCACACATAAAAAAACTGTGTGAATAAAGAATCTTTCACATTTTCTTGTGCTTTAAAAAAATACGCACAAATAAATTGATAGGCGGAATCTACATTTTTCATTGTTTTTTTCCACCACACGTGAAGTGTGTACCAATATTAAAATGCAATGTTAAGTCTCAGAAGAAGGATCAAGGACTCCTTATTTTGGTTTTATATTAATAAAAGGGGGGCATGTCTGACAATAGACACTAACTTTGCCATAATAGCATTACTTTTTGAACGTATAAGAACCACATATACAAAGTAGCAATTTTCATTTTGGGGTGAATTATACCTTTAGGTTTGCTAGGATATTGAAAAACTAAAAAGGTTAGTTTTAACTTAATTTTACAGTTTCAAGGCAATTGTCTTACTGTGATGCAGCAGAATGATCTGAAATAACTGCAGGTTGGAATTATTGAAGTGAATTTATTAACAGCTGCTTACCTTGTACCCATTGTCCTCTTTTCTGTTATGAGAAGCAGTGATCATGACTCCAGCTGCAGCTCCATACTTCATCACAGCATACGGCTGGAGGACAAAAAAAAAGGAAAGACAATCCAGGGGATTCAAGATAACTTTCACTCTCTTTTCTTTATTATCATTGCTCCAAGGGGTAATACAACTCTGTTAATTAAAACAAAATCTATCAATATCATTTTCTTACCACAAATGGGGTAGGCACATATGTAGAGAACAAATAGACAAGGATATCTTTACAAAGCATAACAGCTGCTGTCAACCTTGCAAGCCTGCAGATAAACCAAAGGGTGGGAAATGTTATTTACACTGTTTTATCTGATGTAACAGAAAAATGATTTATCACAGCAAATGTAGTGTACTGTTATACAAAAACATAACTCTAAAATATAGACGCAATCAGCAATTAAATGAAGAATACGAGATCAGTCTGCAACAATTAGTAAAGACATTTTTAGATGCATTTTAGGCAAAACAGCAGGAAAATCATAAATACAAATATACAATCACTAGTCATTTGATTTAATTGCTTAGAACTTTGGACCAAAAGGTGGCGCTGTTACCAAATTGATGTGTGGTCAGTGTTAGGTGACAATGACACATTCAAAGTTTGGTGTCGATATGCCCAAGTGTTGATTCTAAACTGATTTTGTTAAAATCAGACCAACTGTCTAGGTTGGAGACTTTTTTTTTTTTTCAAAAAATGGCAGACAGCAAGTTGGTCTCATTGTTGTTCTCAGTATGACTCAAAGAATCTATTAAGGCCAGTTTCATTAAAATATGAAAAATTAATCAAAAGCTAAAACATATATAAAACACACACACACACACACACATATATATATATATATACACACAAGTGCCACTTTGGACAGTTGGTGGCGCTGAAGGGATTGAGTTAGAGACTCCAACATTGCTGTGGTTAATATTCAGACTAGAGCCCGACCGATAAAGGATTTTGAAGGCCAATACCGATACAAATATTTTTTGGTTTTAAAATCCGATATGCCGATATATCGGCCGATATTTTTTGCTTCAGAATGGCGCAACAAAACAGATTTCCCTAACATTAGTTATTTGTAGTTATTTAGGAGTTAACCAAAATAATATGATAATGCATTTTAAAAAGAAACTTCCTAAACGTTTCTTTTATTGTCAAAACAGAACAAACTGACGATAGTGGCATTAGCTAGCTTTATGGTTAGCTAGTCTATGATGAACCATAATTTAGCAATGAATAACGTTATACTGCAAATTTTAAAACATACATTTTCAATATAACTGGCCAAGGAAACTTCCGCCGGCCACAAATTTTGTCATGCTTATTTGAGTTAAGAGAACTAATGGGGATGTTCTTTTAATTGTTATTCAAGCAATGTATGTATCGTGACCAACTCAACGAGTGTTGGCAACAGGGACGGTGTAGAGTGCCCTCTGGTGAACAAACTACACAACACTCATGACATGTTTCAAGCGTGTTTCGTCCGTTTTTATTTTATTTTTGAAATATTAATTTATCTGCCATTATAACTGCCGATACCAATAGTTTGGAAAATGCCTAATATCGGCCGATAATATCGGTCTGCCGATATATCGGTCTGGCTCTAGTTCAGACTCTCCTCTATCAGTGTGCCCAATTTCACAACTTTAAAACATACGGTTCTATGGGCTAAGACAACAACTAACAGATACAATAGATGCCACTGCACCTTCATCGCTTGGCCCAAGTTTAAGTTTGTATGACCCAAAATTCCTGTCTTATGTCTAATCTGGTTATAGCAATTATGGCGCTTTTCCACTGCTGGTATATATGGCTCGGTACGGCGCAGTACGATTCGTCTTGCTTCTTTCTTTCTTTCTTTCTGCTAGTCGGTCAAGCAAGTAGTTTTAAAACTGGTGCTACAGCGGTGACTGTTAATGACTATTTAAATCTAGCGGGTTTGATGTCTCGCAGATAGAATGACACTAGTAGAGATGATTCTGTCTGACTAACCAATCAGTGATCTGCAGTGTGTTCACGTCACATTTTAGTATCAGTACAGTACGCTTGGAACCTCAACAGAGGTGGTACCATTTAAAGCGAGCCGAAGTGAGCCGTACCGTATCATGCAGAGGAAAAGCACCATTACCTAGCCGTAGTGCTGTAGCGGCGCGTCGATGACGCCGATTATTCGAAGTCAAAATTGCGTCGACGTCATATTTTTGCGTCGACGCTTCTTTATTTATTTATTTTTTGCATGTTCCCGGCGGTACAGCTTGCCACACACACATGGGAGACCGAAACATTGCAGAATAGAGGACGAAGACAACTAGAAGTGAATGTGCTATCCATTAAATGAATCACACACAGTAAACAAACCCTTAAGAAAATAAAATTGCAATTTAGATGCGCAAACTGGGTGCCGGTGTGGTGAGACGTACAAGCTCGGGCAGATTCGGCTTGAAGTCGCTTCCGGTAGCGGCGCCGGGCACGCTGTTACAAAAAAAGGTGTACACACAGCCAGCCACAGTCTTCCTGGTCTTGCGCACCCAACGCGTCATTTTTGCCGTGCGCACAATCGCGCTCGTGCAGACGTGTCGAGTATAAACAAGGCTTTACTCCGTGTCAGCACGCGCTCTGATCAGTAGGTGCACAAACCTCTCCCGATTCATCTCCAGTAGTAGCAGACTCCGATCGCACCACTAACTCCGCCTCCGTTTCCCTCCTCAGCTGATATTAAAAACATTCTCTATGTCAGAAAGTCCGTCTCGGAACGGAAAACAAGCAGTGGTCTGACGGACTCTTATCATAGTTGCAACTTCCTGCAGGCTGATGCAAAAGCCAGTTCCAGCCTGATATCGCTGTTTTCCCTGATATTGTGCAATGTTGTGCGTTCATGCAACAAATACCACAACATAACATGATTGCATCATATAACTCTCCTTACCATCCTGAGAGTGTATATGGATGTCACTTACTGCCTGACGAATATCATTAAAGAGAAGTTTGATGAAGATATACTTCTCCTGTGCCTGATTCTCTTACCGGAATCACTGTCCATATTCGTCCGCCTACAGAACTGTAAATTCTCAAACGTTGCTAGAGGTGCTACTCTGCAATAATTGGTCCTTCGAGCCGGATTGGCAACAGTAAACAGTATGGACACAGCAGCTAGCGATGCATCAGAGACAGTGGTGAGACCTAAGAGACAGAGTAAACTGCCTTCCCATCTGGGTGTCTATGAGGTTGGCTACATGCTTTCTGGGGACCCTCCTCCAACCACTTCTTCTCGCTGTCACAGCCAACGTAAGAGCCAGTCGAGGAAAACGTCCCATAGTAAAGCCAGCTCCCATTCCAGATCCAGTAGTCATTCCACTGTGTCTGGTGTCCAAGCTACATCTGCACTCACAAGTAGTCAGGCAGCTATAGTGGAGGAGAGAATAAAACAGCGGCAGTATGATGACCTACTTCAGCAAATGGAGGAGGACACACTGGCAGAAATAGAGTTCCAGAAATTACAAACCCAAGCCAAAGAGGCACAACGTGTTCAAGAAGAGGCTCTCATGGCAAAGGAGGCCTTATCTAACCAGTTAGAAGGACGGCGCAAGCTGAAGAAGGCGGAAGCTGATCTAGAAGTGGCCAAGCTGGTGAGTTCTCTGCTCAGCCAAGACACAAGTTTGACTAATCCAGAGCATCAAGCATCACCAGACACAACTGGGTTACCATCACAGTTTCATCATGCCAGCCCAGCCCACTCACCTGTATTTCAACAATCTTCCTGTCACTCCTCTTCCATGATGCAAGCCACACAGACGGTTACAGAGGTACAGAGCACATTAAGGGACACACACACAGTTCAGTCAACACCCAGGCTACCTTATTTGTCACTACAATCGACTATACCTGCTCAAGTTCCAGCTCTCACAGCGCAATTGTCTTCATGTGTAGTCACTCAAGTCCAAGGGGGACCACATATCACATCTGGGGAGGACATATCACCTGTTCCGAGGCAGTTCAGCTCAGTATCAATGCCACTACCTCAATTCAACCCCATGAAATCAGCAGCAAGCCAATTTGTGACCCCCCACACGGTTAGTGTTTCGATATCACAGCCAGTGCCTCCTGTTGCAACCACTGCGTTAACTTCAAACGTGCACACTCCTTTGCCAAGCCGTGTAGCCCCACCTATCAGCCAGAATCAGCCTTTTCAAGCCCCTCAGCGTCGAGTGACAGTTTCATCTACTGCACCCATCTGCCCTCAATCTTATCCACTTGTTCCCCAAACTGGTTATGTACCTCAACCCGGAACAGAGCTTCTGATGGCAGCAGCCTACGGCATTCCTCGGCCCACACTACCAGTGTTTGAGAGCGGTACAGAAAGTGACTTTGCTTTGTTAAAACTGGCCTTAGACAATCTATTAAGTCACCATACTCACATCACTGAGCAGTACAAATACCAAGTGTTACTGAGCCACCTGAAGTTTGCTAGTGCTCAGCAGTTGGCTAAGGCATATATGCACCACCCACAGCCATATACCGCAGCCTTACAAGCTTTGCAGGAGAAGTATGGCCAGCCTAGACAGCTTGTTCAATCAGAATTAGGTGCTATTATGAGTACTCCACCACTCAGAATGGGTGATACCAATGCCTTTGATTCATTCGCCTTATCTGTGCAATCCCTGGTGGGCATGCTGAGGACGCTGGAGGGACAGTACGGATATGAGTTAATGTGTGGATCTCATGTGGATCGTCTTCTGGGAAAGATGCCACCCGCTTACCGAGATGGCTTTGTAGAATACTGTTTAAGCCATGGTATCCTTCAAACTGGTACGGATAGGACCTACACTCTTCCCGACTTAGCGGCTTGGTTACAAACAAAATCTCAAGCAAAGCGCATCTCGAGTCAGGCTGCTGCTATGTTTCAGTTTGACACAAAGTCACCTGTAAAGAGTAAAGGCACTTCATATCATCGAGAGCGTTCAACACCTGTACTTTTGACATCCGAGAGAACTGCTAAGCCTTCTGAGCTTGCTCGGACAAAAGCTGTTTCCAAGTTAAAGCCTTACTGTCCTCACTGCGACAGCCAAGATCACTTTCTAAACTCTTGTGATAACTTCAAGAGGTTGACCACCACCCAGATCATTACCTGGATCACAGAGGGTAAGCGTTGTTGGAAATGTGGTCGGAATCATCCAGTGGACTCCTGTAATCTCAAGCGTCCCTGTAAAGTCTGCAAAGAACTGCACCTGACTGTCCTACATGACTCTATCAGAGATACTTCAAAAGCAGTGT